TGGCGGCGCTGTGTATGGCCAGTGGGGGGGGGGCTGCCATCTGCCAGTGACACAACAACCCAGTCACAAAAACCCCCTGCCCGCACCCACCCAACCCTAAGGAACATTAAATCCCGCCCCCTTTCCCCTAATTGGCTCTCGGCGCCTCCCTTCTTACCTCTCTTTGGCCCGCTCTCCCGTCACTCTCTCCTCCACTCCTCTCCCTCCCTTCGCAACCTCCCGGTACATCTTACACACACTGTCCACGCTCCGCGGTCGGCTCGGTGATTGGTCGGTGGGGATGTAAACAACGCCGCGGCGGCCAATGGGAGCGCTGATCACGCAGTGTGCATGCTTGTCCACGCGCCCTCAGCATGGAGAGCTGAGATCAACAGGAGACAGGAGGGGGAGCAGAGGTATAAAAGCAGCTGCGGGCATTCTTCTTGGCTCACAGCCTTCCAGTGCAGCAGAACGGAAGTTGTGTGGTGCTGGATTTTCTGCTAGTGTCCAAGCCTTTTAGCTGGGGGTGCATTTGGCCATAATTTTTTCAAGGGCCAACCTTTAAACAATTGCTGTAAATAATTAATTTTTAACCCCCCAAAAGGGTGAATTTATTTAGAGAAGGCTTCTGAAATTCTGCCATTTGCAACTTAAAAAAAAATATAGTTGCCTAAAATCTTCAGTTTGCAACTGAAAACAACTGCTCCAGCAAAACCTCTTTTTGGGGAGAAACACAACTTTTCTGCAGCCATGGTGGTGTTCAAGAAGATCAAGACCTTCGAGCTGGTCTTCAGCGAGCCGGACAAGGTCTACGGCAGTGGCGAGATGGAAGTGGCCGAAGTCACCCGGGTCAGCTCAGTGAAAGTGCTGGCCTGCGGGGAGGCCAAGGTGGTCTGGATCAAGGGACCCCAACAATGCAAGCAGGAGATGGAATACCTGCGCTATGAAGATGTCCTCACCTTGGATGATCAGCCAACTGGTAAGAACCTTGGTTCAAGAGTTATTGGGTTGTGGGCTTGGGCTTAATGTGGGCTGTGCAAAGAAATGAAGGCAGGGGATGGCTGGGTGTGGGCTTGGGCTTAATGTGGGGTGGGTGCTGTGCAAAGAAATGAAGGCAGGGGATGGCTGGATTTCACATTAAATCTCCCCTTGCTAAATGGATCTGCAAGGTATGTTTTCCCTGTGGAGTTTGCTCTTAGAGGCCCTGGGTTAGATAGCCACAGTGGGGATGCTTAAAGGCTTCTTGGTACAGTAAAGAGTCCCGTGGGTTTTGGAAAGATGCCATATCAATGCGTCTTCCTGGGCTTTGTTTGGTGCTTACTACTTTTTCCGTGGTAGGAAGGCAGTAGCCAAGTTGCTCATTCATTTGAGCCCTTGCAGACTTAAGCCGGCTAAAAACAAAACATGCCCTGAAGTTTGAGAATTTGGTGTTGAAATTTCCGGCTTAGTAGTAAAACTCCAGCCACTGATCCTCGCTACATTGCCAAGGGTGTAATTCTATGCCGGTTGGGAATCACCTCCAAGGCAGATCAGAATGACAGTTGTTTTAGCCTTAGATTCAGTTGCAGTAGCTGGCTTCCCTTAGGAAGAGATGAGGGTACAGTGTGTTCTGTCAAGCAGTACAGTATGCAGAACAGGTGTGATTGATAGTAGGGGGACTGCAAGTTTAGATCTTGGCACTGGTACAGTGCTCTGTAACAGGGAGTTGTAAAGGGACATAGTTGTCAAACTTGGCAGGATGAGACAGCGAAGATGAAAGAGCTGGAGAGACAGAAATGCCTGGATTGGCTCACTTCCTTTTTTCCCTAGTGGCTGGTCCAACAGAGACTAATAGCAGATAGTTTGGAGGAGGGGATGCAAAGGGGAAATGCTGCATTGAAGCTGAATTCAGTGTTGGCTTGTCTTAAGTTATTTAAGTAACATCGAAGTCTAAAATGGTAAGATTGCTTCCCCTCTGAAAAGGCATCAGGAGATTGTTCTGCTGTTCTTAAGAAACAGCAGAGCTGGGGTGTATCAGTGCAACAGACTTCAGTACAAGCTGTGCAACAGGACAAACCTAAGGAAGCTTACATCTTCGAGTGGTGTTCTAACAGGTCTTCCTTTTCTTTAATCTTTCTAGATGAGGATTGCTCCGTGACCTTGAGACCTGGCAACAAATATGAATACAAATTTGGATTTGAGCTTCCCCAGGGGTAGGTATTGGCCAAAAAGTGGCTACTAAAAACCCTAATCATACAAATCCCTCCTTTCTAGTTATCCTGCATGTCTCTAACAGGCAGCCCTCTTGTATTGCAGGCCTCTGGGGACCTCATTCAAAGGGAAGTATGGCTGTGTGGATTACTGGGTTAAGGCTTTCTTGGATCGTCCGTCCTGTCAGACTCAGGAGATAAAGAAGCACTTCGAGGTCATGGATCTTGTTGATGTGAACACTCCAGACTTAATGGTAATTATAAGGGCTCTGCATGTGGGTGTTAGTGGTTGGAGCTATGTGGAGACTCCTGTCCTTTAGAAAAAGATGTTAGCTCTGTCTGAGGAATTTCTTTATCTGGTTTTACTACAAAGCATGGAATAAATCTGGGGTCCTCATTGGTCAGAGGGTAGACTTCCATTAGTGGTCTCCTAGGTGGAAGCACTTGGGGAATCTCATGGTAGTGACCATAAAGCAGGAGGAGGCCTAATGGGACTTCCATACGTGCTGCCGTTAACTTGTAACACAGATGACATGGCAGGGGGGGGGGGCAGACACACAGAACTTCCAAGAACAGGGAGCACAAATAGGTGAAGACAGCATTTGGCAGCAGAGGGACAGATGTTCCTGTGCTCTATCTTCATCTGCGTAACTCAATCTCCCTGTGAATCTCTTCCAGTCGCCTGTTGCTGCCAAGAAAGAGAAGAAGGTGTCCTGCATGTTCATTCCCGATGGGCATGTGTCTGTCAGTGCCAGGATTGACCGAAAGGGATTCTGTGAAGGTGAGATCTGGTTTCTTTCCTTGGAGAGTGGGTTGATTAGGGAAGGAGGGGGGGGTGAAGGGACAAGCTGAGTGCATGAAAGTAGCAAGAGGAGTGAGACAACCCACCGGATTTGAAGGCTGAAAATGCAAGAGGGGGAAGGGACTGGGTGTGGTCGGAGGGGTATAACTGGAGCAATTGTGGAGGGCACAGTATTGCTCTGGCTAAGAGACTTTCAGTCTTCTCCGTAACTAAGCTCCCATCTCGCTCTTTTTTTCCAGGTGATGACATCTGTATAAACGCAGACTTTGAGAACACCTGCTCCCGGATCGTGGTGCCGAAAGCAGCCATAGTTTCCAAGCACACCTACCTGGCCAATGGGCAGACCAAGGTTCTCACCCAGAAGCTTTCCCGCGTCCGAGGCAACCACATCATCTCGGGCATGTCTGAGAGCTGGAGAGGCAAAACCCTCCGGGTCAAGAAGATCAAACCCTCCATCCTGGGCTGCAATATCCTGCGTGTGGAGTACTTCTTGCAGGTAAGGGTCTCGTGGTGCTGAGTCTAGCTGCTTCTACAGTAAGCAATGAGGGATGCTATTACAAAGGATTTGGACATGCTCCATTCTCCATAGGTCACTAGTCTCACTGTTAATGGGAGCATAGGTGCATAATTCATGAGAGCATGTAGCTTTGAGACCCTGAGAACAAGCCAGCCTGCTTTGACCCAGGGAGGGTGGGTTACACTTGATTTTATAGCCTAGTTCCTTCCCCATGTCACTGGGAATTAGATCACGATGGAGACCTCCGGTTCTTGTAATGGCAAAGCACTAACAGGTGACCGTGTAGTAACCAACTTGATCCTGGTCTTGTTCATACAGATCTACGTCAGTGTCCCTGGCTCCAAGAAGATCTTCCTGGAGCTGCCTCTCGTCATCGGTAGCCGATCTGGGTTTGCCAGCCGCTCCTCCAGCATGGCTAGCCAGGCTAGCTCTGAAATGAGCTGGGTGGACCTGAACTTGCCTGATGCACCAGAAGGTGAGCGGAGGGTTATGCTGCTGTGGGGGTGCTTGGGGTATCTGCTCGGACCTTTCAATAAACTGAGGCATCCCTTGAGATGTGCTCTCCTACACACCCTTGCTGTTGGGCTCACAGTGTTCTCCTCTTCTTAACAGCACCTCCATGCTACCTGGACATTGTACCGGAAGACCACCGCTTGGAGAGCCCCACCACACCCTTGCTGGATGATCTTGACAGTTCCTTCGACAGCCCTATCTTCATGTATGCCCCAGAGTTCAAATTCATGCCGCCTCCGACTTACACAGAGGTGAGATTTGGTATTCAGCTTGCATGGCTGATGCCTGCCACAAAGGAACTAGAGCTGGAAGCCTAGGATTTAGCTGGGGTGGGAGAGCTCTTTCAGATGAATATCTAGGCTGCTCAAACTTGGATAGACTCCCAACTCTATTGTCAGGAAGACAGAAACTGACTAGAGGTTAATGGCCCTTGTGAAACCAGTGCAGATCTGTCCAGGGATGTACTAAAACCTCACTGTGCAAAGCTGTCCAATGGGGCATCTTAGCTGGTTAACTTTGAATTGTAACTTATTTCTGGAGCCCTGTGTTTAGCAAACTAGTCAGTTCCCTAGTCAGGGATGACTATCTTGGTTGGGGTTAACAAGTTGGCATTCTTAAGCAAGTGTCTAATGATGTCTTGTTTGTTTCTCCTGCAGGTGGATCCCTGCAACGCTAACAACAATGTGCAGTGAGCGCCAAAGAAGCAGCTGTCTGTTTCATCTACTTTCCTGGACTCACTTTATATCTGCAGTGATTCTACCTAGCCAAAGTTCAGAATGGGGCTTTGAAACCTCCATTCCTGGTGCAGGAAGGAAACCTCCCAAAGCGTATGGGGGGCAAGGCAGCTCCTACCATCCTGAAAATGTACAGCCACCACTGAAGAAGTCAAATGTGAAAGACTGTCTTCTAAGATGTGCTGTGGGCACAGTCTTGATGTGACCAGAGAAATGCCATGTTGGGGAGTGATTGTCAGCCAGGTCTGCACTCCAGAGATTTTCAGAATCTCCCTAGAAAATAATTGTGTGGAAACTGTTATGGGAGATAGCTGC